ACACCTAGTCATCAAGCATCAGAAATATATGTAATGTGTTAAAAATAAAAACTAAGAAAAAACTGTAAATACCTGTAACATGAAGTTTTGGGATACTGACATGGTAAACTCACCTTCTTTCACATCAGCTAGTTTCTCTAGATCAGCAAGATGTCTTTGAATTGAAATGTGTTTCTCTAAAAAGCAGAGATATTTAGAAGTTAAACATCATTAGTTAAAAGTTTAGTTTACTGCTATTTTTCTATGCATCATTTAAAATCTAACACTATTAGAGAATGACTATAGTATCAAGTGGAATACTTGTTTGTCTCCTTTAAATTCCATGGTAGAAAAAATGACTGCAAAATTAATCCCTAAAATGGTTCTTTAACAAGATTCATGTATTTCTACACTCTTCTTAATGCTGACACATATCAAATTTCTCTAATGGGAAAGATCTTCATTTTGCTTGCTTCAAAGAAAAAGCATGCTGAAAAAATGAAGTCACATTCCATTTATTTCAGATTTTAATGCTCGGCATTGTTAGGTGAACACAAAGCACTATAAAAACATCCTATAAACTGGCAAAATTGAAATAACAGCTAGAAGTAGACCAATTGTAAATAACAGTTATTCACTCGATACATTAAATTCTACCCTTTTTTTTTTCCTTAGGAGTGTTTAACTTTTAAATTTACCTCCTGATTTTTTAACTTATTAGTCAAGGGAAATAGTGGAGAATTTGCCAAAACAAAGAGAATTGGCTTATCCAATAAATCAGCTCTATTGGCTTTAGCATACAGAATATCACAGTTTACAGTAATACTGATTCTATAGCAATTTTAAAGCTTTTACAATGTGTTTACAAGATTTGTCTTCACGTTTTCTTAGGTGAAATGAAGATAGCAATTGTTTAAAGTGCTTAAGATACAGATATAAATTTTAAAGCCAGGGTTAAAAGCAATTCCTAGCTTTTCATTTCTGCATTTAGGTACCAATGATTTTTCTCTGGCATGTGTGGCGCCCTTAGCATCAGAGCCTAATGTAAATCATACCTCATCCAACCCCGACTTCTCTTGTCACTATGTATGTGCCAATTTCAGCAGTGATTTCTAGAAACGTTAGTAAGGGGAAAATAGCACCTCATTTCAAAGAGATTGTCAGCACCTTAAGAAAATAATTCATTTAGATGCATGGGTAAAAGTATCATACCTACTGGATGCATGGAAAATGAGATTTCACATTCCCTTTACCTTTCTTCCCACTTAATTCTACCTTTCTCCTCATTTCCTCAAGCACACAACACACATATTAAGAGTTTATCAGCAAACCTCTTGGATAATCAGATGATACATCCAAAATGTTGCTGTCGGATTCCCTTGTGGATTCTTCCTCCATTCCTTTTTCATCAGTTTTCAGTTCTGACTTGGCAACTTTCATACCCACATTGCTGCTTTTCGCATTTCCAGAAACAACCAGGCCATCTTAACAAAATCAAACAGATAAAAACCCAGTAAGAGTGTTGTTGATAGAACTGAATTATACTAATATATTTGTTTCCAATAATTTGGTGCTTCCAACAGGCAAAACTGATTACAAGTGTGAAGGAAAACAGGAATACTCGAACAGTATGTTGGAGAATAATACAAGATTATTATCACTCATTCTGAGAAATAATGCCATCCTGTACAGGCAAAACTATTCACCTGTCCGTATCATCAGATATTTGAAGTTAACAAAGTAGTATTTACATGCTATTTTCTAGCAAAATGCAGTGCTATCAGGACAAAGCAGGCAAGCAGGAGGCTTAAATACTCATAACAATGTATTAGTGACTAAGAAAATTTGAAGAGAAGTTTAGAACTGTTAATAACTAGCTGAACAATCTGAAAGGAGAGGAGTAAAGAAGGAATTTGCTACCATCAATGGGCATAGTGAGGGTTAAGTGCTGGTGCCATTAGCAAATGAATTACTTCTCTGGGGTACTCATGTGCCTACATGTGACTCAAGAATTTAAAGGAGACTTAAGAGGCTGAGCAATTGGGCAATAAATTGAGAAAAAAGGTCATGTGGTGGACTTGGGGATAAAGCCCAGTACTGATTTTCCTGTCCAATGCATGGACTCAGAACTGAGCATCACCAGTCAGGACAACCACTTTGGGATTTTAAAACCCGGGTTTGACGAAAGTAAGAGATATAAATCCTCAAAAGCAGTGGGCTCCTCTCCTCACAGACAGTTGTTGGGAAGTAGAATCATAGAATAGTTAGAGTTGGAAAGGACCTTAAGATCATCAAGTTCCAAACCCCCTGCCATGGGCAGGGACACCTCACACTAAACCATGTCACCCAAGGCTCTGACCAACCTGGCCTTGAACACCACCAGGGATGGAGCATTCACAACTTCCTTGGGCAACCCATTCCAGTGCCTCACGACCCTTAAAGAACTTCCTCCTTATATCCAATCTAAACTTCCCCTAAGTTTTAACCCTTTATCCCTTGTCCTATCACTACAGTCCCTAATGAATAGTCCCTCCCCAGGATCCTTTTTTGAGGAATAACTCAAGACAAGGGAGGCTGTCAAGAAGTACCAGGAAAGGATGCTGAAATCCACATTAAACCGGCGCTCTGAAAGATACTGCCCTGACCTCCAGGCTTCAAAGGGACAGGTAGAACAAGGAAAGTTTCCAAAAAGGGTAACAAGAAATAACAAAGCTATGGCATCACTTCTTAGCCATTGAGAAGCAACAGAGCAGACTATGACTTTTCAACCTGGGTAAGACAGATGTCTACAAGATCATGAGATGCTGAGAAAGGAGAGAAGCCAACCACTCACTGTCTATTCCAACACAACTGGGATGTACCCCATGGAGGTATCAGCTGGAAATCCACCGAAGAAAAATGTTCTTTATGTGAACTACTGTTAATGCTGTGGACTTCCCTGCCACAAGCTGCTGTGGATGCTGCAAGCCTCCCTGTGCCAAAGTGATAATTTTGTGGATGAGAAATCCACTCTGAGACTTCATGAAAATATGAACTTTGATTCAAGAAAATTGGGATTAACAAACTGTTTTGTGTTTGAAGATATTTCCGGAGGACGCATTAATGTATACTTGCTCTGACTTGCTAGTCTTCCCTAGCCATCTACTCCTGGTCACTAGTGAAGCCATAAGGGGTGGAACCTCTTAAAGCAGTTCTTATAATTCCCCTGGGGTTTTTCAATTGCTTACTTTTAAGCATTGCAGCTGGATACAAATCTTTGCTATTACATATAAAAAAACCCAAACACAACAACAAAACTCAAGAGGAAATTGAAGGAATACCTCAAGACAAGGGAGGCTGTCAAGAAACTGTTTAGAAAGACAAACGCACAGAGTAAAATTATTTTATGTACCTTAAAATTTATCAAGACCAGCACTTCTATTCTGTATTTCTCACAGATCTATTTTGAAGCTGACAAGTCACCTGAGAGAGACTTGTATTTCCTAATTGAAAAGCTGCATGATGCCTGGTTACAGTTTCTACACAATTTATTAATACAAAGACAGAAATAAAATAAAGCAAAAGGATTTTGGCAATAAATCTGTAAGAAGAACAATGACTGATTTTGACTACGTGTACTCTAAGAAAAAGTTAAACACGGTTAACGCACAGCAAGAGCGTAGCAGTGACTTAAGTCCATGAGAGTTTAACAGTCTGCACCTTCAGAGCAAGTGCCTAGGTGAAAATGGTTGAAAGAGTATGCATACATATGTATAGTTTATAAATACACCCACATAAAAAGATAACCTTTCACATTAAATGAATAAGAAAATCAGGGTGCTACTGATGCAAGATTGCAGGATTTTTAAAATGCCTATCGGGAACCACTGATTGCGCACAAACAGAAAAGTGCTCAAAAACCCCTAAATTATACTTTTTTTTTTTTTTTTTAAGGTGGAAGAGCCTGGTCACTTCAACTCTGACGACTGCAGGAGCAAATGCCTGGTGTCGATGCCACATTTAGCGCGGCTGGAAAACCGACACAACCAATTTAAACGCATTTGGCCGAAAATATTGAGGAGAAAAGGCACGAGGCACACAAGGCGCCGCCACGGCACACATAGCATCCCCCTCCCGCAGGCCAGGATTGTAAAGGGACCTCGTGGACTGCGGTTGGAAATAAGAAAAGATTATGATTAACAAAATTTCACCGACTTGAGAAGAGGGCGACAGAAGCCCTGCTTTGCTGTTTCAAAGCTCCCTGAGCACCGAGATCACCGCCGGGGCTCAGCCCCGGGCCGCGCCGCCGCAAGGACCACGTGCGACCCCGCCGCCTGCGCCGCACCGGCCCCATTCTACACAAAGCCGGTAAAACGGGGAAAACCGAGCTCCGTTCACTCCGCAGCGGTTTCACGGTGCAGGTGGAAGGAGAACGGAGACGGCACGAAGGCGGCTGCAGGCGCCCAGCTATAAATTCAAACCCTCCCGCATGGCGCCCGCCTCCCCCTCACTGCCTCCTACCACGCGCACACTGGAAGAGGAGCAGCAGCTGCTCCCCGCGGAGCTGCGGACGGAAGGCCCGGCTCCCACCACGCCGCTTTGGCCGCCCACCCGCCCGCTCTCGGCTCCCCCTCGGCCCTCACTGAGCGCTGCGGTCTCGCCGTCGCCTGCAGGGTTTTCCTCATGCTCGTCACCGTCGTTCTCGAGCCCTGGCTGCCTCCGCTCAGGAGACAGCCCAGCCAGCGAGGCCTCCGCAGCCTCCTTCGCTGCCATCTTCTCCGGAGACAGCCCGGTGGCGGACGAAGGGAGACAAATCGAGGCAAAGGAACACGCCGCCGTACCCACACACCGCTCACTCGGAAGGCGGGCGACCGAGCACGCACAGCAAGAGAAGAGGCGGGCCCACACCGCCTACATTTCCCAGAGCGCCTTGGGACTCTAGCTCCTGCGGAAGCCGGGCCTGGCCCAGCGCGCACCGCGGTGGGGAGGGGCTAAACCAGGCCGGGCTGCGCTGGGCCGGCCTGCGGACATTTCCGCAGACGAGCCGGGCGGTGAGATATTCCTGTCAAGGAAATTCTCAGTTCTGGGAGCGGAACTGCTCTCGGGGTACCCCTGAGACCCCTCTGCTGGGACCGCCCTCCCGAGGCCGGCCGGTCCGGCGGGTTAGGGGTGCAGACCCGCTGCCCGCATCGGTTTCCACTTCCACGGGAGGGTGCGTCCGAGCTGCCTCCTTGTGAGGCGGGGCCGCTCCTGTGCCCTACTGCTGTGGGGGAGAAAGAGGGAAGGAATGGGGTGTGCCGGCAGCTGCCGGGGGTGGGCGAGCTGGCCTTCTGGCCTGTGCCAGAGGGAGTCCCCTTGTAGTTGCCCTTTTCTTCAGGCGTGAGGTTGGGGGGCAAGAGACTGCAGCTTCTTGGGTTGTGGCGGAGCAGTAACTTCCATCAGTCATTTCAACCCGCCCATGTTGACGACTGTCTTAGAGAGCTCTCTGTTTAGTGAGTCTTCCTTGTTTTATGGCTGAGCTCCTTCTGTGGCTTGTCTGGTTAAACAGTTGACTTATACTATGAAAATTCACCTCTAAAGCTTTGGGAGCTTCTGGTGGAGCTTTCTTACAGCCTTCAAACCTTTTCTGCTTCACGGCAGGGTCGCAGGGCTAGTTTATGTAAGGTGTGGCGTAGCTGTTGTGAGATGTCATGGTATTATACCTAACCCAGAGGAAAGGTGGGGGACGGCCGAAAGCAAAAGTTGTATAGTTGGAACTGCTTTAAAACTGATGTTTGTATGGCTAACTGTTAAAGGGTGTTTGTTTCTAGTGGTCTGGTATGTTTGCCGGTACAAAATGTGTGTCTCTAGAGCAGGGGGTAAAGTAATGGTCATTCTATTTTTTTTTTTTTTTTTTTTCCCTGTGAAGTTCTCTCACTAGTTAGATGTAATTACTGTTAAAATCTTCTGGAACCTGCTGTGGCTCTGTAATGAGAAAGTAAGAGTATTCGAGTATTCTTTTTTCTATATGCAGTTAAAATTTAATTTTTATACTAGCTGGAGATAACTTAAATAATAATGGCAATGCTTTTTCTTAGCATTTGAAGATGTCTAAAAAGAAACTGAAGAAATTAACTGCAAAGGAAGACAGTTTGGATGGCCGGGATGACAAAGTAGGAACAGCTATATTATTACTATGATGATTATTTTAATTCAAAACCCCACATTCAAGAGAAGAGCATGAATTGTTTAGCAACCTTGTGATAGAAGGCTGAATCAAATTTAAAGGGGGGGTTGTAAATAGCAGAAGGATTGAATCTGTCAGTTAACTACAAGTTCTAGACAGATCTTCTCCAGAGGTTATAAGTAGTGTGGGTATCAGAAAACAAAAGTTTTTTAGTTTTAATATATTTTTCTGGTTGATCTAAGTCAAGTTTAAAACAACTGCTAAAACCACCTCTGTTTTTCTGGATTGTTCTTTATCTTGAACCATATGTCTTAATTTTATAATTAATTACAAATTGTACTTCACAACATTTTAGCAAGTAACTCTCAAATATTTAATTTTAACCACTGAGACAGAAATCAGTGACCAAAATTCTTAGAATATGCTGGTATCTATTTGTATCTAGTGAGTAAGCTTTCACTGAATCACTTGGAAAATGCAGGTGCTACAGTGGGGATAATCTTTCTGGTCATGTTTGTATGTAGCTTCCTATTCTTTTTTCATTATTTGTATTGCCTTCTGGGAAGTTATTTCCTGCCAGAAGTGTAATATATATCAAATAAATCCAGACTTAATATTTGCTAGACTTATTTTCCCTTGTATTTTGTAAGGTATGTGTGAAAGAAGAGAGCTTTTAACTGTCTTACCATAAATGTCTCAAAAAAAAACATTTGGAAGTGTGTATAAATGAGTGTGATATTATAGCCTTATAAACTGAGTTATACATGCTAGAAGCCTTTTGCTGTCTTAGAAAATGTTGTTCAAAGCCAAATATTTGTAACTTTTTTTTCTCCTTAATTCCTTATTATTCAATTTATCTTTTAACATTAACTTATCCTAAGATGTGTGGTTTATGTTGGGTTTATTTGGGGTTTTTGTGTTTGGGTGTTTTGTTGTTTGGTTGTTGTTTGCTTGTTTGGTTTTTTACTTCCCTTGGTGTTTTTTTTTTTGTTGTTGTTTTGTTTTTGTTTTTTTACTTGTGTAATACAGAGGTTAAAAACTTGGCTTAAGATGTCATACTCTAGCTGTATTGCCATTGCTAATGCTTATACCAGTTTGAAGCATACAGAGTTTTAACTGTTGCATGACACTTTGGTCTGAGAATACTTTAAATACTGCTATATACAGATATTGACCAACATAAGCAACAATGAGAACCCAAACTAATAATATTAAAAAGAAGGAAACCTCTGAATAATATCAAGTGTTTCTTCAGTGTGATCGTGTTATGGATAAGAGGTATCTTGAGCTCTTACAGGTGAAAGTAACTATTTAAGTGGGTTGTGTGTTTGTTTTGGTTTGTATGTGTGTGTGGTATAAGCATGACAACAGATTACAGAAAACTTTAGGCCTGTTTGATTTTTAGCTGGTGGAGTGAAAGTACAGGGTGGGTATCATGTAGGGTTCCGCACCTTGGGTGTGTGTATGTGACTTTATGGGGGGGGGGGCTTTCTTACCAGCAACTGCATTAGCAGATTGTAGGAAGTGGTTTGGCTGTGCATACAGCTGGAGCACCCATGTCTTCAACAGCAGGAGCGAAGTACACACAAACATACCAAGTCATCTGATCTGGTATCCCTTTGTAATTGTCTGTTATTACATTTTTTCTGTTGTATTGCTGGTATTGGTCATGAGTGTATAGTTCACTGATTGCCTGTTAACTGAGTTGTTAATAAACCAATAAACCCCTTAGATGCCTTTTGATGACAATCAAGTTGAACAGGTCTTCCTGCAGCAAATTGCATGGATGGGATTCTCAGTGGAAGTAGCCTTTAACAGCCTCCATTGGTTTTGCTGCTGTCACAACTCCAGGACCAACCACAGGCAGAAGCTTTCAAAATTTAATTAATTCGTCAGGATTCCAATGATTTCTGCAACTCTTTTATTTTCATGAAGTGCTTTCTAATGTGGAAGTAAAATAGCTAAGGTCTCACAGGTTTTTTATGGACTTCCCTAAGCAGGAAAACCTCTGCAGCAGTGACCTAATGGCCTTACTCAGTCCCTGTGACCCAATTGAAGGAGTAAATTATTTGCTAAAGGATGTGTTGTCTGGAGCTTCCTTATCTGAAGTAATCCAGTGCTGTCCTTTGTTGTAATGTCCTGCACCCGGCTGCAGTTTTGGGAAAACAAAGTCATATAACCCTATCTCAACCTGGTTGGAAGACGTATGTGACTCAGACCTGGTCAGAGTCAATATACTTGCTTGGAATGAAGGCACAAATAAGGCCAGATGCTGAAACTCTTCAACAGACTAGAGAGAGAGCCCTGCCCTTTTATGTTCATGTTCTTTAGAGTGTTATTCCGCAAGGGCCCATGCATGATTGTTGTCCCTTATACTGTGGTGTCCCCTATTTGACCCTATCCTTTAGGTCAGCATTTTTTACAGTCCTGTGGAGGCTCATCAGTTTCAAACAAGTGGGTCAGAACAATCCTGCTGACGCAGTAGTGAAAGCTAACATCCTTTGTTTGCTTCATTTATGATAATTCCTGTAAGGCCTCCCATATTTGAATGCAAATGGTATCTGAGACAAACTCAATTTAAGCAGTGTTTGAGAGAAACTTGCTTAAGCAGTGTTTGAGACAAGCTCAGTTTCCAGGCTTTCACAAACACGAAGGTGTGTAAAAAAATTCGTATCAACAGGGTCTGTCATTTTGCTGCTTTCTGTTCTCTCCCATAGCTGCAATAATAAACTTTCCGTTCTGAACTGATCAAAGTTGCCTTCCGGTTATTCCACAACATGCATGTGACAGCTTGCAATATAGATATGCCAAGCAGTGACATGACGGCTTTCTAAATAAGGGTTGTTCAAATTCTTTGTTTGGGGACTATCTTCACTCTTAACCAGGTCTATGTAACTGCAGTTTCACATTGGTCCACCTTATTATTAGATCTGATGAAAATTAGTAATGCATATCTTCTGCAGAAAAACCTCTTGTAGAAAGATCCTCTTTGGCCTTACCTAGTAGGTAGCTGGAAGCAGTCTTTGGGTCACTTTCTTTGTCACCAAGAATTTTTGTAAATATACAAAAATGTATGTTTGCATATTCATGTACTTGTAAAGTATATGAAACACATGAATCCTAAATGTGTTTTACTTGGGCTTTCTCTGTTTATACCCCAGGGCTGTGTGACACATTCAGTTTTTCCCCTTGTGTTGTTCTTAAATAGAACAAAATCTAAATACTAAATTATAACAAGGTATGTGGTTGCCTTTTTCAAGGTTAACTTGTTCAAAATCAAACTGAATCTAGTATGAAGTAATAGATTGTTGAATCTTATGAAGCTTTTTTTAACTGTAGTTTCCTCTATAAGCCCTTGGATTTTTCCTTCTTTCAGAACATTGAAGACGTAAGATCTTACAACTGTACTATGAAAGGAGAGACAGAATTTCAGAGGTAATTTATTGGAACTGCTTAAAGAGGTCTGTTATTGTTTTATTTTTTTAAGACTGAATTTAAGAATTTTGTTTTACTTGTTCACCAAATAAAATGTTATTTTAACTGATAAAATGGTGTTGGTGTTGCATTAATGAGGGGATCCTGTCTAAGCTGGGCAATTTGAGAGGGTTTAGAATTACATTTTTTTAACTCTTACTTGAAAAAAATTACTTTTTTTAAACTTGTAGTATGCTGCTACACTTCAGATGAGGTAGAAATTTTATCTTTCCAGTACTGCTGTCATAAAAATATCTTTTTTTCCTTTGTCTTGAGTACTGCCTTGTTGGTCTATTGCATATCACATGTTTTGTTAGCAAAGGAGGCTCCAGTGAAGTCTGGTGGGTAGTTCTGCAGTGAACTTAATACCTTTACTAGGTTCTGGTATTTCTGAAATGATTGATTTCTCCTGGTGCTTGGAGTAATTGATTCCAAGACAAAGAAAGTAATGTTTCACCTTGAGTATAGCAAATATAAACAGTGTTTGAAAAGTGCTTTGTATAAAGCGAGAATGTTCTCATGAATCCTCAGACACCAAATAGCATATTTCCAGGCAAGATACTGCCTGGCTTATAGCCAGATAATCAGAATCATAGAATGGTTAGGGTTGGAAAGGACCTTAAGATCATGTAGTTCCAACCCCCTTGCCATGAGCCAGGGACACTTCACTCTAGACCAGGTCACCCAAGGCTCTATCCAATCTGGCCTTGAACACTGGCTATGGGTTGTTTCTTAATCATGGTAAAATCCTGTTGCAGCTTCTCTGTTTAACTGGAGTTGTAAGTTGCAGGATACTTAGCTGCATGTACACATGCTGCTAAACATGTTTGTTAGTACAGTATAATGGAACCATAAACCAGTAGCTACGTTCATGCCAGAACTCTGTCCAGTAATTTATCCTAATAGTGGCCAGTAGGGCTTGTATTGGAAGGAATATGTGAAACAAGACAAATAGAATTTTTTTTTTTTCCTGTTTTATACTCTTCCAGCTTCTAAGAACCAGGTAGGGATCTCCTAATTCTGAAATTGTAATGGCAATCTGTGCATTTAAGTTACCTGGCCTACATGAGTTTGTCAAATGGCCTTTACCTCCCCAACAGTTTTGAGAACACTGTTATAGAGCAGGGTAGAAACTTCCTTTGGATTATTTTAAACCTAGTGTATAGATTTTTTAATATTTTTTCTGCTCTTACAAGAAAGTTTCCAATTCAGTTTTCATATTCACTACTTCTGTAAAATTGTCCCCATCAATTATTCCTTTTCCTGGTTCTCCAGTCTGTCTGTTCTGCACTGTTTGAAAGCTGTGCAGTGTTTGGTGCTGGCAACAAAGCTGAACTGAGACACATTTGAATTTTAGGGTGACGCACCTCGTATCATTACACTTCTGTTAAAAATTATCTGTGTGATGAAACTAGTCTTTGAAGGGCATCTTAAACTAATAGATAGTGAATGCAGAAAAAGCTTTTTCTCAATTTGATAAGCTAAAATAGCTGTCCAGCTGGGAAAACAATGTAAATACTAAAAATGGTGCGTCAGACAGCACAGGTATTGCTGCAGTTTCATATTTAAGAATGTAGTGAACCAGTACTCATAAATACTTAGCCATGACTGCCTAAATCAAATGCAGTCTTTTTTTTTTTTTTTGCTTTGTTTGTTTATTCTTGCATTAACTGAGCTAGATTACATTTCTTTTCTCATGTTTCTGTAGATTCAAAACAGAGAAAGATGGGCAAGAGGAGAAGCAAGAACGAAGTTCTCATAGTTCTCATGGCAATGACGGAAAATCCAGAGGAAAATCTTCAAATAGAAACAAAATCACAGACAATTCTTTAATCCAAACTAAAAAGCAAAAGAAAGTAGTTATTGAATTTAAAGACAGAGAAATTAAACATGGAAAAAGTACGCGCACTCCTGATGTTGTGACTACTAGCAAGGAAAGTTACAACAAAAGTCATCTTGATGGGACAGAAGGAAAAAGACTCTATAGCTTTGCGGTTCAGAGGAGCAAGGCGCTGAAGAAAAAGACGGAGAAGGCTGAACTTTGTAAACTAAAGTTAAAAAGGGAACAAACTATGTTGGAAAAAATTAGGTCATCTGTCAATGATTCACATGTACCACATAAAAAGGCACATGGAAAAAAAATGAGTGAAGATGTCAGAAATTCAAAAAAGCGCTCTGACACCTCTACACGGACTGTGCATGGTAATAGGTCTTTCACTAAGAGGCCAAATATATTATCTAGTACTTGGGAAGAAGAGTATGAAGATGAATGTGAAGAGTTTTCTAAGAAAAAACAGCATGTGAGTAAACATACACCCTCACGCTATTCGACTGAAATACAACGATGGGACTCTTGTAAACAGAAGAAACAGAATGCCGATTCTTATAAAGCTGCTGGTAATACAGAGAAAGAAAAAAGGGACTTCAAAGCCACATCATTATGTTTTAAGCAGGTAATGAGAACCCAATTCTTGTTTCAGGCTAGTTTCTGAAGGACAGGCAGTTTTTATCTAAGCAGACTGTCTTCTTACAGATTTTGAAAAGGATTTCATAGCTAACCAGGTGAATCTTTCTGATCCCAGTTAAACCATGTTAAAATGTTTCTCTGCTAAATGGTTAAATAAACTAGAATAAAGATCTTGCATATTAGGATTGTATCTGCACATGCACTTTCATAGTGTTGCTATTAAGGGATGTGGAATACTTCCATTTTGGTTTAACTAAATTTTGGGGAAGACTGACATGGTTGTATCATTTTTTGAGTGAATAAACTGAACCAATAAAAGCCTGCATGCTAAACAGGTGCTCATTGCTGACAAAGTAATGCCAGGAGAATTTCTTGTAGGTCTAGGACTAAATTTGTGTGTTTGCTGCAGAACTTCATGTTTGGCTGTGATTGATTTATTTCTGAGTTCTAGCTTGTAATTGACTCTGGACCTTAAATTTATCTTGAGCATGGTTATTTTTTGTTTTTCTTGATTTCAGTTCACATGAAGGTAGCGTGATCATTTTGTGTGTACACAAAGATGGTAATGACATACAGAATAATGGAATCGTTGAGGTTGGAAGGCTCCTCTGGAGATCATCTAGTTCACCCCCCTTGCTGAAGCAGGGTCTTCTAGAGCAGGTTGCCAGGACTGTCCAGTCAGGTTTTGAATATCTCTAAGGATAGAGACTCCACAACCTCCCTGGGAAGCTTGTTTAAGCACTTTTACTGAAATAAATGGAGGTTTTAATGTTCAGATGGAATATGCTGTGTTTCAGTTTGTGCCCATTGCCTCTTCTCCTGGAACTGGCCACTGCTAAGAATCTACATCCTCACATCAGATGTTTATAAACATTGATAAGACTCCTCTAGGCAAAAGAGTACCAGCTCTTTCAGAATCTTGTATGACATGCCTCAGTCCTTTAATCATCTTAGTGACCCTTTGCTTAAATCAGTCTTTTAAATCTGTGTCTGTCTTGTATTGCCCAGAGCAAGAATTGTCTTGTCCAGAGCCAGAATAACATAGTCACAAACCCACAGGAGATTGGAAAAATGGGCTTACAGTGTAATCCACTATATTTATTTGAAAATAAAAACCATTTTGAAAGGATGCTGTAGGTTCTAAGCCCTTTTGAAAGGATACTGTAGATGCTTCATCATGGATATTGAAAATATGTTTTATGTTACCTCTTCAATTCACTTGGGATATTCATTGTTCTCTAGACGACTGATAGATGTTCTACTTCCATTCCTACTTGTTTCTCGAATTTTGAAGTCCCATGCACCTCTGACACCTACCAAGAAGGTGAGGACACAAAGTCTGTCCAAAAGGTTAGTGCTGTAGTTATTTAACTCTGAAGAGCTGTATTTCAAAACTCTTTGACATAGACATTATTTGTTCTTCAGTCTTTCCTTGATATTTTGTGGTGTTGGTATTTAATTTTTTATTTTTTTTTAATTCCTACAGAGTTCTGAAGTCTTTCCACCTCTTCAAGACAGTCAGATCTCTGAAACAGACCATGAGGTTAGCAATACTGTAACACTTCTATGTTGCATTAAAAAATCATTGGTACTGAGGTTGTATAGCTGGAAAATTCCCTGACCTTTGCTAGTATTTTGCATTGTTGTGTTATGATCTGTACTTCAAAAAATGTGAAGCATTTTTTTCAAATACTAAACGAACTTGCTGAAGTATTGCTCATCAGGAACTTTCAGAGATAGAAGATTGGCTTTCTATTACTCTCTGCAATGTAGGGCACCAACATAGTTGCATCTATGTCATTTTCCATCTTGTCTCTTTTCCAACTTGAAAGTTATATTTTCTAAGAAATGCCAGTCAGGAAACTCTATGAGGCAAAAATGGAAAAAAGTTTCGGGGTACTAGGTACAAATGTCATAAACAAATCTTCCTTTGAGGCTGTATTTCAGATATCTTTTGTGGGCTTCTTACAGCAGAGGATATGCAATAAGTTCTCATGACTTTACATTTGCTGTACCAGTTTCAAATTATTCATGCTTCATTTTTAGTCGGTGTTAACAGCATTTATGTGGAAGTATCTTTTTTGGGAACAATTCATACAGGATTACTTAAAATTGATGCAGATTGTTTTCATTGTAGATGCAGATAATTGAAGATTTGCATGTTGCCCGTGTTCAGAAGAGGATGATGCTGTCTGTAGTAGAGACTTGTGGAGAACTTACAAGTATGGAAATAGATCTTCCAGAGCAGGATTTAAATACTTCTGCTGGTATGTCATGGGTTGATGTTCTTTGGTATCTACTTGCAAGTAGCTAATGTTCTGAATAGAGTGTGCACAACTGATTTTTAGGTGTTTTTTCCTCAACTTTTTTTTTCTTTTTTTTTCTCCAGAGACTTTTCCTTCTGGTCTGAACATACTAGTGGTGATTGACACAAATATAATGATTAGTCACCTTGAGTTTGTCAGATCCCTGAAATGTGAGAATATACCAGGTATGTGAGTACATGGTGATCAATACGTCATTTTAAGAAAATAGAGATGTTGTAAGAACTTGAGGCAACGTGAAGGAAAACTAACTTGGGCTCCTTAAAAAGGCAGCAGGTTTCTTACAGAGACAGAAAGTTCACACTTAAGAGGCAGGTTCTGTGAACCCAGATAAGCTGCCTCCCAAGGAAAGTTCAGCTGTGAAAGTAGAACCTACTATGCTTATATCTACATACCTATAGAGAATCATGGTCAGTGTTCCCATGAACATGTGTGAATACTTAGAGGTAAGGAAGTCTTGCCTATTGTAAAAACATACTTTTAAGCATTTAGTCCACTGGTGGTAATCACGTTTCCTACTTTTTTTTTTATTTTTAATTTCCTACAAATCTGAGAACATTTAAAATCGGATAAGCAGTCAGTGTTTTTGGTTTTTGTTTTTATTTTTCTCTTGGTAAACATCACAGAATTCACAGAATGTGTGAGCAATTTCTCAGGAATTCCAATTGCAGACCCTGGCTGTAATGTTGGCTTTAATAGGTTGTGAAGCTTTTAGTAATTTTATGTTAGCAGGATTAGGATCCTGCATGTGAGTTGTTGGTAGACATATTTGGCATCTGTGTTCAATGGCTTAATGTCCGGCTGGAGACCAGTAATGAGTGGTGTCCCTCAGGGATCGGTGTTGGGACCGATCTTGTTTAACATCTTTGTTGCTGACATGGACAGTGGGATTGAGTGCGCCCTCAGCAAGTTTGCCAATGACACCAAGCTGTGTGGTTCGGTTGATATGCTGGAGGGAAGGAATGCCATCCAGAGGGACCTCAACACACTTGTGAGGTGGGCTGATGCCAACCTCATGAGGTTTAACCAAGCCAAGTGTGCATGGTCCTACACCTGGGTTGGAACAATCCCAGGCACAGCTACAGGTTGGGCAGAGAAGAGATTCAGAGCAGCCCTGTAGAGAAAGACTTGGGGGTATTAGTTGATGAGAAAATGAACATGAGCAGGCAGTGTGCACTTGCAGCCCAGAAAGCCAACCGTATCCTGGGCTGTATCAGAAGGAGCGTGACCAGCGGGTTGAAGGAGATGATCCTGCCCCTCTACTCTGCTCTTGTGAGACCTCACCTGGAGTATTGTGTGCAGTTCTGGTGTCCTCAACATAAAAAAGACATGGAACTGTTGGGACAAGTCCAGAGAAGGGCCAGAAGGATGCTCAGGGGACTGGAGCACCTCCTGTATGAAGATAGGCTGAGAAAGTTGGGGCTGTTTAGCCTGGAGAACAGAAGGCTGCATGGAGACCTCATAGCAGCCTTCCAGTATCTGAAGGGGGGCTGTAAGGATGCTGGAGAGGGACTCTTCATTAGGGACTGTAGTGACAGGACAAGGGGTAATGGGTTCAAACTTAAACAGGGGAAGTTTAGACTGGATATAAGGAAGAAATTCTTTCCTGTAAGGGTGGTGAGGCACTGGAATAGGTTGCCCAGGGAGGTTGTGAATGCTCCAACCCTGTCAGTGCTCAAGGCCGTGTTGGACGAAGCCTTGGGTGAGATGGCTTTGTGTGAGGTGTCCCTGCCCGTGTCAGGGGGGTTGGAACTAGATGATCTTAAGGTCCTTTCCAACCCTAACTATTCTATGATTCTCTTCTATGATTCTATCTATCAGAATATATAAGGTTCTTTGATACTTTCAGTTAACAAGTACACTTATTCTGGCCACCTGGAAAATAACATTAATAAGGGAGTGAGTAATTTTCAAGACTGTATCTTACTCTATTTCTCTTTCGCATATTAGGAAGAGCATTGCATTGTGTATCCTGGAATGCCTTTTTTAGACTATTGCAGCTCCCAATTTCTGGTCCTGCACCAGAGCCATTATATTCAGAAGGTTGCTGATTCCTGACCTTTCTATTACAAAGCAGATGGATGCTAATGTATTTTTTCAAGATGGCATTCTTATTGTGAATGAGAAGGAAAACAGTTTTTGTCCTGAATGAAACAATAGAACAGTCATTAAATTAAATTCAGTCATTAAATTTCTGATACACCATGTATTTCATATATAATGGTTTTAAAATTCAGACCATACTTACATACAAATGTAGCCATGGTCAGTATTCATACTGCCTGTTCCTGTTTTAGGAATGCTGGTTGGCAAACTAGAAAAAACTGTTGCTCCTTTTATTTGGTGATTGTTTTGGCACATTGACTGTTAAGGTCATTCAGGTTTTTTGAGCCTTTTACTTCAGCTGCTGTCACCTTGTTTTACCATTTTACAGCTTGTTTGTGACAAGGTGATAATTGCTGCAAATATGCCGTATAATATTGCTACATACTGTTGTTAAAGCAGTCTGTTGATTAAAATCATGTCTTCCTTTTGTTTGCCTAATATTATAATTTTTACATGTAACCAATGTAGTGCCAGTTTGAGGTTAAATTAAGAAGAGGGAACCTGGCCTTTCTCAGTTGTTAATTTTTTTAATGCTAAATACTCCTGAGCATGGAATATGAAAACTACTGGCCAAAAAAGTGTGAACTTATGTAAATACAGTGTTTGACCTAAAAATTATCTGATTATCTGTAATAATTTGATTGGCTCTTTAAAATGTATTTGTTTTTTGGTTGTATTCTCTCCCTTTTCTTTCTTTTTTTTTTTTTCTTTTCTTCCTTCCAGGTGTTGGCAAACTTGCATTAATAATTCCCTGGGTTGTTCTACAAGAGCTGGACAACTTGAAGAAGGGGAAAATGCTGCAGCATGTTCGGGACAAAGCTATCCCTGCAGTCCAGTTCATCTACATGTGTCTCAAAAACCAAGATTCAAAATTGTGGGGACAATCCATGCAGCTTGCTTCTCAAAAAATATGTAATATATGTGCAATCAATTTGTTTTGGGTACTTAATCGTTTCGGTTTGCTTGGTGTGAACCTTAGCACTAAATTTTGAGTTAATACAGTCTTCACTTTGCAGTTTGCCAACTAAAATTCGGGAATAGCTTACAGAAGCCTTCAGAGCATATTCAGGGCTATAGCTTGCAAATACCTTATTCACATTAGTGCTTTGTTCATTATTGGTTTATTAGTTGTTTCTCACTTCTAGCTATATCTGTTGGTTATTAGGGGATTACTTAATGAGAATTCATCTAATTACTGTTACTTATGGACTAAGGCTATGTTGTGTGCTTTTGCTTGACTCAGTCATCACAAAATCTAACATACTTAAATTACATGTGGCTCACATGACCTTTTCTGGCAAAACATAGCATTATTGAGTGGCGTAGTACCTAGTATTTCAAAGCTTAGATTTGTGTTTAGATTATACTTCTCTGTCTTTGTTTGGGGACTATTAGATTTATGAACAGTACTGTGACTACACTGAAGAATGAATTGTGTTGAGTTACTCCTGAACATTCAGCTCATTTTTTACTAAATTTGCAGATGGCCTGAGTGACGAGAACAATGACGATCGTGTTTTACAATGTTGTCTGCAGTATCAGAACCTCTTTCCTCAAGCTGTTGTCATACTCTGCACGTGAGTTCCTGTGTGGTTTTAGGTCTCTTATGAGGTGGAAGCTAGTCTCATGCCAAATACACTATTTTCATATCTTAAAATGAAGAGCTGTTTCTAAAGTAAGCTTTTTGAAGAGCAGTCACCCTCTTTAAAGCTGGGGTAGAAGGATATAATAAAAAAAAGATTGTAGACTTAATCAGCTGCGTGTGCTTGAGGCCTGAAGTAGAATTAAGTTTATTCAGTATTCAATTTTAAATCTTTGTAAAGCATAGCTTTCTCAGATTTTATTCCAGTTTCTCATACAAATACTCCTGGAGTTACAAAATGAGAAAAAAGTATTTCTGTTAATGATTGAAATCCAGTTAGATACTTTGTTCCTGCTCACCTGTTTCAGGAACAGTGATAACCATTGTCAGGGGTTAATCTTAGAAAGAGGGAAGATGGCTTCTGTTCTTGTTTTGTGAGTGTAACGGCTGACTTATGAGTATTGATTATCAATTTTATACAAGTCACATGAAGCTAGTTTTTAAAGGGCTAATACTGTCTTGACAGGTACTGTAAAGAGCTTGCTTTGGTCCTTGCTAGAACCATTTCCTGCATAGTTGGAGTAAATAGGGTTAAGACCTTGCATCAGTTTAAGTTGACATGTGGATCAGGTTGTTGGTGAAAATACTATCTCAGTCACAGTACTGGTAGGGCTGTTGATAATGATTTAGGTTTCTCTGAATGAAGACTGAGAGGCGACTTCAGGTGTACTTTTCATCTGAAAATATATTTTATCAATGTAAGCAGTGGGAATTTTTTAGAAAGTACTAGGGTCCAACTTTGTACTGCATCTTTGTAGTAGTACTGCTGGAGCAGCGTATACTTCAGAGTGGCATCTGGAACAATGATTCAACCAGTAGAACAGTAAAAAATAGTGTCGAAAATGAGAATTTAATGTAGCAGTCGTATAAGATATTACTGTCTTAGAATTGCGTTGTTTGCATTCAAAGATTATAGCAACTCGGCATCATTGCTGTAGTATTTATAGCTGTTTTTTTCTTAAAGCAGTATAAAGCGGGAAACATTTTTCAGTATTTTTTTTTTTTCCTCAGAATAGATGCTTCAGTTAATTTTCTGGTTAAATTTTTTTAACTGCTTCTAGTTGCTTGAGAAAGAAAGCTTTGTATATAATGAAGCTCACAAAATAAGCTTACCAAAGACAATCTTTTCAGTGTGATTCTTTTAATGCAATGTCATAGTTATGTCAACAATTAATTCTCTTCTCCTAGGGATGATAAAAATTTATGTAATAAAGCCATTGTGAGTGAGGTCAAGGCATTCTGCAAAGCTGATTTAGTTACTGTTCTACAGAATCTGAATGTAAACATGCAGCAGAACTGTTTTGAGTTGCAGCAGACAAAATGTGGTAAGTTTGTTTAATGTGAATGTATGCATATGCTGGTTTTTGAGACACATAATAATCAGTGCAGATGAGGGAGAATAGTCTCTACTGTAACCAGTTTTTATATACTTTGAATCTTTGTAATGCTTTTCATTTGGGGCAAATTTTGGTTTTCAAAGATAAAATTGTTTTCTGAAAGTTGGAGACCTTTATTAACGCATTTGTCTCTTGTGTTCTGGGAAATTCAAATAGGATGTAGTTTTGTTTCACATTAAAAAACAACATGAATTTCCTGTATTCATAGTAATTTAAAAAGTATCCTGAACTTTTTAGGTCTGAAGAGAGGTTTTTCCAGCTGAGCATATTTGGGTCCTATTCTTAAGTAGTTGTAAAATTCAGTATGCTAAGATCACTCCTAGCATGTTGTGGTAATATCTTTACCTTCAACAGCAGAACTTCATTCTTGGGTTGCCTGTTCATTTTTCCAAAGACAGAATTCCAGCTTACAGTATTAAGAAGTGATCTTATACTCAGTGATAACCCCACTGACTGTATGTAGTCAAAGTTATTTAAGGAAAAAAGAAATGCAGAGTAATGTCACAAATGAATAAAGCTCTTGGGAAATTAGTCTTCTTGGTTAGTAGTTTATAATTAAAAATGTCCACAGTACAGGTGGATATAACTAGAAATACTTGAAACCTAATTAGATGTAGACCATCCACTTTATAACATAAAGTGTAGTCTGCCTTTATGGGTATAAGTTATTTATGTACTATCAACATAAATTAAATATAGAAACAGTTGCAGTAAGTACTGTCTATTATTATTGGCTTGACAGATGCAGAACTCAAGAAAACAGGAAGAGGTCTTACGGCACAATGTCCAGATATACTTCCAGACCTTGAAAAGAACTTAGGAGAAGCTTTATCTTGTATTCTGGAGACTGAAATGAAAATCGCATTTGGAAACCTATGGATGGAGGTGGTTTCTTATGTCATCTTACTATATTAAGAGGTTTGAGTGTCCTTGGTATTTTAACTGTATCGAAACCCTTACCAAGCCAAACAGTTAAATTGTCTGGTTCACTAACATACCAGTTCAGTGATAGCGAACAGCTCTGTGCTCAGTTTTACTATTTCATTCTGTAACAAGATTACTCTATTTGACCAGTAATGACTGCAGAGTATAATAGTCTTTTAATTATATTGTAATGGAGATGGTGGCTGTTCAGTGTGAATTTTCAGAAATGCTTTTATTAGTTGCATTAAGTTTCTATTTTGGCTTTTTTAGTATGGTTAAATCACTGCATTGTAAATATGTCCTTCAAGAAGTTATTCCATTACATTTTATATAATATTGAGGCACTATTGTTTCAGACACTTCCTCCTTGGAACTTGTATTTTCAGATACCACGTAGATAAAATTGTTCACAGCAAAATTGGTTGTAATGCAGGTACAGAATTACAAGTATATTAATGAGAACCTCCAAAAGCTCTTTCAAAAGTATTGTATTCAAAAATCCTTAGGTACAAGGCACTTGCAAATTATCCATGCTTTTAGATTCCATCTTATAGCAGGTAGGAGTTAGCTAGAAGTTTAAATTTATTGTAGATAATCCTCTGTGGCTTTCATAAAAAAAATAATTTACGTGGAATGACTGTTGTTCCACAAGGTTGAACTTCAATTAGCTGTTAAGCTTTTAGTCACTTCTGATTATCTTCGTTGAATTCTGTTAGGATCTTTTCAAGCTCTGTTTTCATTTGGTATTAATAAATTTCAATTTTGTTGCAATATGTGTATATGACTTCATGTATATATAGTCACAGCTAGGAAAAGTGTGTTTAATTTTGTTTTTTAACGATACTAGAAAATCAAAGGCGTATTTACTATTCTGGCTTTTGAACACAAATAACACATTAAATCGCTTCAAGAGATAACTGGAATATTTGGAGCTTTTGAGGAAAGGGGAACCAAAAATCATGAAAATGATTGTACACTAAAGACTTCTACATGAGCATCACTGTTTAATCCATGCTGCTGCTGAATCAAATTTTTTCTAATAATAAACTTGTTAAATTTGATTATAGCATATTTCTGAGGAATCGTTGAAATTCTACTACAGCAAGCACAAATCATAATATTTATTGAAGAACAGAGCAGCTGTGAAATGTATAGGATTATGTCTACATGAAAATCAGCCTTTGAATTTATAACGTATTATCTTTCAGATACTGTATCTGAAGCCACCATGGACATTAGCAAACTTGCTGAAGTGTTACAGAAAACACTGGGTGGCTGTTTTTGGTTATATTGTGCCAAGGAGTTTGCTTTCAACTATTGAATGTCTCTATGGACACCTTTGTACAGGTAAGAATCTCTGAGAATGTTAATTATGAACTTATAGAAAAGTCACACTGTTCTGGTTTATTAAGTACAGAAGTATGTGTCTTTTCAAAGTATCTACTTCTGTATGTTAAAATAGTAATGTGTTCCATCTTCTATGGCTTTTGTTTTGGGTTTTGTTTGTTTTTTTTTTTTCAATTTGAGACTGTCCAAATGGAGCCATGCCTTGGGCAGTCTCATCTACTTTTCTATTGATCCACAATTTATTCCCTGGATGGGTGACAAAATCCCAACACTTTTTGTAGCCTTAAAGCCAGAATTGAATTGATGAGCTGTGAATTGTATTAAAGAGAAAGACCTTATGCCAAGTTCAGGTGTACCCAGGCTCTGGTCCCAAATGGTCCAAATATGACCTGCAAAAATAATAATAATAATAAAAAAAATCTCTGAAATGCTTGTGGGTTTCTTGTTGACTTTGGTTTGTATGGACATTATCAGGCATGTGAAAATTTACTTCAAACATCTGTTATGTACCTGCAAAAATCGGGGGATAAACATTTAGTAAATATATGTATTAATAGTAACCAAAGTCTCTATTTTTAAACAGCAAATAGTCTTTCTCTCTCCTTTGCCACAATGTTATGTGTGGCAAAATGATCTGCAGTTGCCAAGTAAATTATAGAGAAGTAATGACTGCTTAAATATGATGAGGGTAGGGAGGCTTGTTTTCAAAAATAGCCAACAAAAAAACCCTGAAACAAACCCTTTCATTTATTTAAAGATATCTTTAAGAATTTGCTTTGTACACACATACCTTTTTTGGGATACTGCTTTTGAGATATGTTCTGCAGAATTATTTCAGGTATGGCAGTTGATCCTGTTGCCAGATCCTGGGATAAATGGTGAAGACTTGGCTAAGAAGTGATTATGTTTCACACGTTGCTCTTGAGAATGTTTTATGTAATACTTAAGCTATTTTCAAGGCTTTTTATGTGCTTCAGTTCAGCTATTTGATTATTAAATATGCCTTTTTTTTTTTCACTCCCCATAATAATGTCTAAATACCAGGTAAACCAGTTGACCCTTCAACAGTGTGTATCTTGCTCGAGGAATCCAAAAAATTATTCCATGCTTTCAGTTCAAGGTCAGACTATAATGGTGTACTTCCTCAAGCTTATGCTGAAGTGAATAAGCTATACCAAACACTTACAGAGGTAAGGGGAGCTGCAGTATTTGTTCAGCTAACATGTTCAAATTGCTCTATGTTTGTATTATAAACCTGGCTTAGATTTCTAAATTATTTCCATAATTTCAACAAATTATTGCAGGAAATATTGTTTCTAGAGTGTTTTCACTCTAGACCCCAAATTTAACTTTTTAATATAGCAAATATCTGCCTTTTGTTTGGTAGACTTTCTGGTTTGTTTTTTTTTTTTTCCCCTAATATAAATGTGTTAGTATTGGGGGGTGACTGAAAATCATTATTTAGCTGTTTTCAGGAAAAATGTCTTAGTTTTCCATTGTGTTTGTAGCTGATGGAAAAGGATGTTTAATCTTAAAGTTGTTGTTTCTAGTCTGACATTGGTCCACTACTGTTATTCCTAGTATATGTTCCTAGTGTGCTATTTCAGCTTTTGTTGCCTTGATAGCTCTGGTGCTACACATAAAGAAAAGACTTGTTCTATCATGTACTTTGTGGTAGTCATTGGGGGTGTGTCCTTACACCTTTTGTGTTCTGAGAAGTATGTCTTCCAGCTGATTTCTGAGTTGATGTGGAAGAAATTTCAGTGTCTTGGTTTGTGGTTACTGTTAGTTCCATATGTAATGGCATGAAAATGGGATAATGAGCATGGATGACTTGAAATATTCCTGTATAGGGGGAAGAACATGGGTCAGAATATCTTAAGAAGTTTTTTTCAGTTTTGGAGAAAGCTGCAAGGGAAAGGAAGAAGGTGATCAGAGAGATGAAGAAAGATCTGGGAGTCTTGCTTGCCTACTGTGCTGTAACTTCAGTGCACATTGCAGTCAGTCACTTAATCCACAGTTCTGTGAACTGTGCTGCTATACGAAGCAGGCTTTCTGTCTGAAAACTGGTTTTGTCCTGTCCTTGTCCTGGCAATTGTTTGACTTCACAGAGAACTGCTCTTATACAGACTAGGTTTTGACAGATGTGTTTAAGAAAAATTTTCTGAACCAGTTTACCAAATGATAACATATTGTAAATACTTTGTGCTGTTGCAGAGGAAAATGTTGCGTGATACTGAGTAGAGTAAGAAGCAGTTCTTGTTTATGCCTGCTTGTCATGCCTGGGAAACTTTGGCATAAGGCTTCCCTTTGCTTCAGTTACCTATCTGTATAAATACCAATATATACATATAGAAGAAGGATTTAGTGAAAGACCGAAAGATGCTTTAGATGCAGAGACCATATTCTTGTCATAACTAAAAGATAGTTATGCTGAGAAGAGTTTAGTCCTGCTTTTTTGAGCATTGCTTTAAAAAAGATATAGAAGTGTTCAAGTTCTCTTAAACTGGGAGCCAAATGCATTCATTATTTATTTGCTAAACTGTTTTATAAGGTGAGGTCAGACAATGAGCAGGATTTATCAGAAGACATCATGGTTCTTTCAGAAAATGCTGTATGTGAAAAAATGGAAGCAGTGACACCAAATCTACAAAGCTCTGAAGAAAAAAAGTTACATCCAAGCTTTCATGCATCTCAAGAAAGCAGGCACCAGGAAATCTGGTCAGTCCTTGAAGGTGTATGGAATACAATAAACTTGTACAGGTATGTTATGCTGGAGAAGTTAAAACTTCTATGTAACCTTAGGTAATTTTCAAAAAAGCACACTTTAGAAATTGCCTTCCCCCCCCCCCCCGTTTTAGAGAAGATGCTGTTAGTAATGTAATTAATCAAAATTGTAAAAAAAATTAAAAAAAAAATCACACATCTTGTCACACAAAGGAGTTAGGAGCATGCAAATTGTTATGTGGATACACGAGTAGTTTGTCTAGTCTACTGCTCTTTTTCTGGACAGTGGCTGAAGTTGCCTGAGAAAATGGCATTGAAAACTCTGTAAAAAAAAAAACCAACAACAAACAAAAAATCTAATCAATTTGAAATACAGTGTATTTTCTTGTCAAGCAAAATCTTTCACTGTATAAAATCCACATGCAGAATCTAGTGATGAATTTCCTTTCTCATATAAATTTGAAATTGCAGGCAATTAAACTCTAGGTGATTTACTATTATTTTTATTTTGGTTATTTTTGAAAAACCTGCTTGAAAATCACTGAGATGCCATACTTTCAGATACTCTCACAAAATCTGAATAGATATTGTGTTTTCTTTTTGTAGTCTTAATCTGAAATCTTTTTGAAGGAGGGGCTGGGTTCACAGAGGAGCTCTGTTTTTAGTGGTCTGTTACAGACTTGCCTAATAAACAGTGATAATAACTCTACCAATGCCATTTCTACACTGGCATTTGAATGTACTGTACAGTTGCACCAGCATCTTGGCTTACACCAGTGCAGATAAATCTGAATTGATGTCAGCTTGATGTGGTGTTTGGGTCAGCTGTGTGGCAGAGAGCAGTCTTAATGTGGTCTATTACTGGAATACTAACTGTGAACTTCAGGGTTTCATATAGGCATTGAGGAACAGCTCTTTCAAGTGTACCACTTTATAATGAAAAGGCAACTGAACTGTTGGCTGTTACTACCTGTTAAGGACCATACTGTAAAAAGAGGATAAAATTTTAGAATCAGAGGTCACTTCACACTCTTCTTGCTCATGTCAAGAAAGTACTACTTACCTTGCACCTGTGGGGATAATTCTTCATGGGTGCACTGGAGCTCATCCTCCCAGTGCAACCATTGCAGGGAAGGTGTCAAGACCATACCAGTAAATCTGGAAAAGGAAGCTGCTTGAAAAACTGATGGAAACTTTGTTGCTTTAACCTAACACTTCTCTTCTAAGAAAGGCAAAGTTAGTTGTATGCAGGTTGTGCCTGAAGACTTTCATTCTGAAGTGAAGTTTAGTGAGAAGTCAAAGGTAAAAGTTGCCAAGGAAAATTTTAAACAGAGAAGTACAGTTGTAGAGTGTGGTCTTTCTACCATTTATTATAAGACTATTTTAGATAATGTGGTTTTATTATAGATTTACATTTGACCTTGGTGTTGTTTTTTTTTTATTAGTCAAAATACAGTGCATACAGTAGATACTGGGTTTCTCTGTATTTTGATAATTTTTGTTAACAGCTTTTCAATGTCTCTTCTTTGTTCCCTTTTAATATTAGTATTGAAATTTTCCAAAAGTTGGGCCCTGGCACGGTAACTGTGACTGCAAAATCTTCATTTGAAGAAGCTCTTTTAGGTCTGCAGAAACTGATGTCAGCTGTGAATGATATCCGTGAAGGAATTAGTAGGTAAGCATTTAAGCTCCTCATAGCAGCGAGTGATAGTAAGAGTCACCTGAAGTCATAAAAGTCACTGAAATATTTTGATGCCAAACTACAATTTATTATGTGTGGTTACATGACTTTCGGTAATTAAAAAAAAAAAAAGGCATAAAAGACCATCCCTGCATTAGTAGCATTATAGCCTGCATGCTGTGTCTGATTATTTTACGTACAGCGCACTAACAGCGGGATAAATCCTATCAAACAGAAATGGTGGTGATACCAGAAGACATTTTGTATTTCTCTTTGGTGAAAGCTACTTACCTCCTGTATTTTCCTTTAAGCAAGGGTTCTGTAAAAGTAAAAATATCGGTGAAATTTACTTTACAAAGATATACATTATTGCTAAGAGCCATTAGAATATCTGGATCAAAGCTAAACAGGAATCTGTCAAGTGGCATTATTTGAAATGGAGAGGCTGTTTTCTGTTCCAGGTGATTCCCATGACGCTCAGTAACATTGATGAAATAGCTTTAAAAATTCCTTTAATACTCTTTAAAATTTTCTTTTGTACCTGTAAACTGAAATACATTATTTAGACATTCAAGAGGATTCTGAGAGTGGAGTAATTTTCCTGCGCAGTTGCATTTGGAAATGCCTGCCTCGAGTTTGTTCCGTAGATTTGCAGTAGGTTCCGCAGACTTGCAGTAGGTGGCATCGTGGAGCAAGGAATTCAGAGAGACACTGACATGTACCCTTCTGATTTAGTCTTGAGTGTAGATATTTAGCTTAGACTTCTGTGTAGGTTTTCCGAAGAGTCAGAAGTCATATTTATGAATCATTGTAGGTTTGTGTATATTACAGAGTATTTAAACAACAAAAGGAAGGGTGAGGCTCGTTTTGCCTAAGTTATTCAGCATTTCTAAAACTGAACTTACAGTATATATTTTTTTTCTTGAATTTTGAAAATATACCTTCCAGTGGCTTATAGTCAGCCTAATGGTATGATTGCAGAAAAGGAGGTATCTGGAGAAAAAGTAGTGAAGAAGTTCTAGCTGGAATATTTGGAGGTAATATAGCTTTTGGTGATAAAATAAAACTGTGGGTTTTTTTTTTTTTCTACTTTCTATTCCTTGCTGTCCAGAACAAAGGAGAGAAAAACTGATCTGTGAAAGTTTGCAAGTTTTACAAATAAGTTACATTGAAAGTGCAACTGCATTAAAAATTCAGATTTCCAGATTGTTAAAAACAGAAAAGCACAATCACACTTTTTGAGATAAATGTGTGTAGTAACACCTTTCCTCATTAAAAAAAACCCAACAAACCTACATTAGTGGTACTGCCAGTGAAATTACTACAGCAATACTTCATGACCAGAGGCATGTTTATGACAAATCTGGTCTTCGAGCCTCTGTCAGAGACCATGTTTATGACACATATAGGTAGTAAAAAAATTAAATAATAATTAAAAAAAGCTATTTTGTGGAAGAAGTTGTATTAATGGCTTTTGCATCTTACCCTATTTTTGTATTTTTGTCATACTATTATCTTTGCTTCTTCCTTTAACAACATTGGTAGCAGAATGGTATTTATACTTTAGAATACTGCATGCCATAAATGTTTTACATTATTTCAGCTCTAAAATAAAGACAATAACTAGTGTGGTTGTGAGTTGTGTATAACCAGCCTCCTTCTTCCCTTGGGTAAATACAACTTCTGATTGAAAGGTTTGGGTGCACCTCTAGGGAATTTTATGTGTCCTCATGTTTCCTGCTCGAGTTACTTTTAGATAAGGAATCTTTGTTAACAGAAAAGAAAAAGAAAGTTTAGTCTTTGGTGAATTGATAGCTATTTATAGTTTGTTTTTTTTCATCTGCTGACAGAAATGATTGTTCTGTTCACAAGCCAACTTTAAAATCACTCACAATTTACAGCATGTATTCTTAGATACAGTACTTCTAAATATTTGTACTAATACAGCATCAGCTGTATTAAAACTATCTTTAAGATCTCAGTAGCGCAGGTAAGCATTACTGTACCAGAACTGATCACTAAATTGAATATTTTGGGATTAAATAATATAAAATCAGTTTTACAGTTTTACTAACTTAAAAACAAAATTTTACAGATGCAGAGAAACTGTTTCCTCTTTGTTTATTCAGGTGATCAGTAAAGGAACTAATATTTTCATGGTGCCTAGTTAGAGAACTGTCTTCCTTCTCTCAGACTTTCATGGGATTTAGTAATTTCTATCATAAAGTCTAGATTAAGAGCTCTACTTCCACATGTAGTTTCCTTCTGGAAATAAAATGGAGTTTAACTCCTAGTTCAAAAAGTATCAGACTTTCCTATCAGCAGCTGTTTGATTTTTATTTTTTTATTTGCTTAAGTGAAACCTGAAATATTCTTGAGCCGCTAAAGGAGAACAGTTGAATTACTTCACATGTAAATTTCAATCTCAAAGTGCTGGGCTTTGTGCAGTGTCCCATAGTAAACAGTTTGCTGTGAATAAGAAATTGACTGTTGGAAATACCGCATTGAATCATTATACAACATGGAGCGTGGTTCCCTCTTCCTTTTCTTAGGGGTAGATATGGCTAACAGTGCTACCTACCCATCAGCTATCTTCTGATCCCTGAACAAGATGTGTAACATAATTTGTGTAACTCGTGAATTGTGAGCAAGAGGAGGTTTTACAGCATCCATGGAGCTTTTTAACCACACAGATTGGCACCACTGAGAGCAGGATTACAGTTAGATGACGTGTAAAGCATCTTGTGGAGAAGTGTTGCATGTAGAAATGTCCCTCTCCAGGTGTCAGCAGTGGTACAGGAACATCCTCTTAGTTACTAAGAAATCAACTACTTTACATCAGTAATAGCAGTTTCAGAGCTTATCTTTCTGTAGTATTGTATCCTTTAGTTTAATTATCATGTCTGATAAAGTTGAACATGCATAGTATCTGACAGAAGGTTTTCTCCTAGTTCTATCATTTCCTTTCCTACATGGATTCTTTGCCATCTCCTTTTATATTTGATCTTGCCTACAGCCTTCTCTGCTGCCAGGGCCAAAATCTGTCTTTCATACTTCCTCCTATTTTAATCAAAGCTGTAAGAAGTGTAAAAGTTTCAAGTACTCTGCCTCTGCCAAATACAGCTGAAATTGGCC